CTCTCTCTCCTCTCTCTCTCTCTCTCTCTCTCTCTCTCTCTTAAGTTACTGATAGAACCCAGTATGTATATCTTTGGCTCTGGTTATCATAATTCTCTATCCCTCCCTAACCCAATCTCTCTCTCAAATTTTCCAGCACCTAGTATAAAAATTTATGTGCGGCCCAATTTCTCCCTCTAAAATTAACAGGCACCCATTATTGTAATCTCTCTCTTGGATTAGATTACCAGTATATTTTTGGATATTATCTGCTCAAACAAGATATTAGTGGATAATATTATTGTTCTGTGTGACTTTTATAACAAACTACCTTATAAATATAACCACGACCAATATTCCAAAATTGTAAGAGTAGTTGCACTAAGACAAATATGAGATAAAAATATGGAATTCTAGTTCTAATGAAACTATATTCTTGTCTTAATTGGCCCAAACCTATAAATTGGCTCTCATTGATGTTTATTGATGAGAGGCCAAGAGAGATACAAAGACAGGAGGTAGAGAGAGAGACAAAGAGGATAAGAGAGTTTTTGTTTTTCACCTTAGCTTTTTGGGACGAGGTATATCGAGTGGCGAAGTTCTTCATGATAGAGTTCTTCGATTCAGGTATGCTTGATTCTGAATTTTTATTCTTTAATTCCTTTATTCTTTTTGTTCGTGATATAAATCTTTCCTTCTTAGTTCATCTTCTCATTCATTCTTAGAGATGACTTTCCTATCATTCATTGTTTCATCTCTTAAATTCATGGATTCTTAACATTCAAGAAGGAAAAAAAACCTGGCTGCTTAATTTAATACTGTGCCATCTTTTAATGCACTCATGATATATCTTTCATCATCTTTTTCTTATTATTTATGGATTTTTTTTTTCCTTTTAGGCACTTTTGGTTGTTGCAATTCGTCATGTTGTAAATGATCCTTAATTATGCATGTCTTTTTATTCAATTTATTTTATGCTTTAAAGTCATTTGCTGCACCTTTCTCTTTCTTCTCGATCGAGTCATATCTCAACAAGTTTAGATTAATGGTGGTCCAGCCTTGGCTATAATTCGGCCCTTGTTCCCATAGGGCTGGCCTAGGCCCAGCCCTGGCCCTATTAGGGTCTGGCTGTGTTGGGCTTGGTTGAAAATAAAAAGTAAAAACAACAAGAAAAGAGGGCTGGGTCGTGCCGAATTGGGCTACCACCGGCTCTAGCCCAATCCTCCAGCCACAGTTTGTGGCCCAAGCCCTATGTTTTTTGGGCCGGGCCAGGCTGCTTGGCCTAATGCCTGCCCTATTTTAGATTTCTCTTGATTTATTTTGTATGATTATTCAATTTTCTTTTTACAAATGGGTTATGCTTACCCAGTAAACAAATACATTGGTCATTTTTTGTTCCATAGTGAACATGAGAGCAATTCCTTCTTTTGTTGCATCATCCTAGGTTCCCAAAAATTAGTTACAATTACCTAGGATTTTATGAGAGGCGACATTTAGGGGGAAAAAAAATGATTTTCTGGAGTTCTCCCTCTAGCCCACTCAATTGTATATGGAAAAGATTACATATCCAAGTTTACAACTAAGTATTATATTTAAGGTACCGGGAAGAGACTCCAACTTGTGGTGGATTATAATTATCAATGTTTTAAAGATTGCCTTGGCCTAGAGACTTGGTTGAGGCATGTAACTCGGCTGAGTCCACAGTTGTGTGGGCCTTAGTAAAATGGAAAAAAGGAAAATTTGTGGAAACAAGCAATTTCAGGGACTCCTTTGGTATTGTCCACCTCCTGGTTTCGATCAGACAGGCCAATTTTGAATTATTCAGCGATGCATGGTACTATGAATTTTTGTTCACTGCTCTCTCTCCCCCCCTATATCTTCTTTTTGTACCTTCGCTACACCTTACTCTGCCAACTTGGATGACTATAATGTCTCCTGAATGTTAAGCTCTTGCATCCATTTTGGTTAAGACCTAGCGAACTATAGAGGTATGAAACTATTGTTAAGAAGGACAGAGACATTACACAATCCCAAAACATGCGTTTGTGAGAAATTAGGCAGGTGGTATGATGATAAGTTCTGCCGTTGTAGCCATTGCCAAATACAATATCTAGTTTCTAATTGTGCCATGAAGTTCGTAGAAGAGGGACAAGAAGTTCTGTGGAGATAGACTTAACAGGCCCATTACACCCGAGAAAGAAGAAGTGGTTATGGATATTCCTGCACAAAGGCAGTCTTTAATCATTACCAAAGACAGGTTTGCAAGGCATCATCCCTGTAAACAATCAAATAAGAGTGATGCAAATGGAGCCCCTAACAGATCCAACAGAAACAAGAACCATGCTAGGAGTTATATTAATAAGATTAAGGAATGATGGATGGAGATTAGTGACTAATAAGTTTTGGGTTCTGATACTCTGAAACTCTACGCCAAACTGTTGCATGCAAAAGATCTGACGGATTCCCTTAATAGGATCCTTATATAAAAGGATATTGCTGAAGGTAAGATAAAGGATTTTCTCAATGAGGATGAATAGAGATTAGTGAAAAATTTGCAATAAGAGGTTGGAATTTGGGCTGGAGAGAGAAAGATATCTCATTGCCTATAACAGGAGTCCATCATGCAATCAAGGGAATTGATCTGAGAGAGGTCTTACTCCATTGATTCTAGGAAACAAGAGAACAATACTTTGACAAATAATTAGGTTTGGTCCTATTTTATTTGGTTTGGGTGCCGAAACAACGCCATGCTATATCATGAAAAAAGGATTGATGCAGATATGTGTGGGCCTAGGGCTTGAAGTGTTCTATGCACATTTTGGTCTTTTGTGATCCAGGCACTAGCAAGTCCCACTTCACATTCACCATTAAGCATCATGCACTTAAAGGGATCCGCTTTTGTTTTTTGTTGTTCAGTAGAGATGGTCTCCTACCTTCGATAGGAATGAAATTCAGGATGTCATAATGTGGTGCTTTGTTAACCTGACTATCTAAAGAGATTCTTTCTCTCTCATCATTTGATTCTTTACTGTTCTTTCTTTTTGATGGGTGTAATATCCTCTCCCCTTCCTCTCTTCTTACTCCATTGCTCTTCTTTTCTTTTCCAACTCAGCCAAGCTGACCTAGCCCTTCTTTTCTTTCTTTACTGAGGCTGTATACTCATTTCTAAAATGCAATTTTTTCTGCTATGGCAGTCAAGCAATAAAGTATATGAAGATGTTTGTGTGAACAAGGAGTACAATGGACACATATATATATATATGCAATGTTGTTTGTGTATTAAATGTAGTCATCATTGTTGGTCTCTTAACTATGAAACAGACAAACAAAGAGAACCATTTTTCTGCTTGATCGAACAATAGCCAAGGAATCTTTCATCTCCATTTTCCATGAATGAGAGAAAATGGTAGAGGCCAATATGCAGTATATGAGCATCATAATAGATATAGTGTCTTAGTATTTCACTGATGGGTGTCTTAGTATTTCACTGATGGGAATCAATCATATTAAATATGGTATATAGATAGTTAAATAAAATCATACAAATAGTGAACTTGAACAATTATATTGAATGTTGTATTTCATTGGTGGCAATTTGGAAATAAGAAAAAAAAAAGAGGGAAAAAAAAGGTTGCAAGCATAGATTTCTCTTTCCCATTTCTACTTTGTAGGGGCTAAAAATCATGTAGGGTTAGCAGCAAGCTGGGCCTAGGCCTAGGCCTAGGTCTAGGCGCAACCCTATTCTCCTGAGGGCCAGCCCAAGCAGCATACATGATGTAGGCACTTTTAACTAAAACATCTTATGAGTGATTATGCCATGCACTTTTGTCCCTCAAGGGACTTCGAGAGGTCTTTTGCCCATTTTTCACAAGTGAGCAACCCTTTCAATGCAGCTTGGGACAATAGAATATAGCTGATGGCCAAGTCGTCTATCCCGAAGTGAATGATAGCGGGTCTGTTCTACTCCTTATTCTCATAGTGTTGTCTCATCAAGTGAAGGATTTTGGAGTGGTTTTAGATGAATTTCGTCACCAACCTTGCCCAACTTTTAGTCACTTTTATAATCTATAATTTCGTTGATCTCCTCCAACATGAGATAAATCTAGCGGGTAGTACATGAGGTTCATACTAGATGCTTCTTTTTATAATATATAGTGTTATCCATAATAATCTAGGCCATATACTT